CGGGCGGGGGCGTGGCCGCGGGCGGGCGTGTCCCGTGCGGGCGCGCGCTGTCCGGGCAGCGATGGCGGACGATGGGCCGGGGCGGCTCAGGACTGAGGAGGGCCGGGCGGGCGGCGCGGCCGTGGCGGGCGGCGAGATGCTGCTGAGCGTGGGGCTGCTGGCCCTGGCGCTGCTGGCGGCCTACCGGCTGTACCTGCGCTGGGGAGCGCGGAACGGGCCGGGGGGCGCGGCCCGGCAGGGCGAGGCCGCCGCGCTGCCGCGCATGAAGCGCCGGGATTTCTCCCTGGAGCAGCTGCGCGAGTTCGACGGCGCTCGCAACCCTCGCATCCTCCTGGCTGTTAACGGCAAAGTCTTCGACGTGACCAAAGGCAGCAAGTTCTACGGGCCCGGTGAGACGGCGGGGGGATGGGGGCAGTCCCGGCCTGGGACCCGCCGGCGGTGTTACACTGGTGATGCTCAGCGGGTCTGGGTTCTCCTCAGGCAGCCGTCATTTTCCCAGATGCCTTGATTTGGATGTGCCGTGGTTAATTCTATTTTTTTTTTTTTTCCCTTCTGTCTCTTCTAGTAGGTTTCCCAAGTGCAGCTGAGCAGTGCTTTCTTCGTTCTAGCGCTTACGGCTCAGGAGAGGAACCCAAGCAGCTGGTTATTTATTTAGGTGTAAATGCCATGTTGAGTGTGACTTTTAGTCAGGATAAAGATAGGCAAGGAGAGCTCTGGGATGAATATGTTGCTACTGTTGGGAAGAGTGCAGAAATCAAGCCAATCTTGTAAACAGACAGACAGCCAACACTCCTCTTCGGAGAGGAAATGTGTATTCGAAGGTTCAGAAAAACAGGCTTCAGAGAAATGTTCTGGTTTTGTATTCACCTTGTACACTGTGAAACTGCAGCACACTTTCTCGTGATAAACAGCATTCTTAATAATGAGGTGGGTAAACTTACTGGTGAGCACTGTGTTCACGACTGATGCCAAAGGAAATGAGACTTATGACTGCTGATAATTTTCTTCTTTAAACAATGGTGGTTTGGGAAACTTGCTCTAATCAAACTGTGCAGGAGTTTTCATAATAACCGTGGCAATCTTCCTTGTGAGAGCGGTGGAGGAGAGAGAGGATATTTCCCACTCCCCCAGGAAATAGTTCAAGTTAAGTAATAATTTATTATTATTTAATAATTGAGGTTACAAAAAGAAAAATACAAAGCTGGCATGTTACAAGCCTTTGGTTCTTGGCGGGGAAGGGACAGGCAGTTCTGTGGTTGAACTGGGCTAGAATTTTGTAACTACTTTATGCTCCAAGTTTGTGATACCAGTTGCAAAAAGTGAACCTGCTGTAATTGAATTGAAATGCTTTTTTTGGCTGGGTACTGTAAAAGTTCATGGTGGAATCCAAAGTACCTTGCCATGTTTTATGTTGTTTATTAACCACTAAAGCTGAGAAAATGCAGCCTGGTGAGCTGCAGCTTTCATGACACTTAATCAGGCTAGTTCTTTTGTCTCTCTTATTTAGGGGTTTTTAAACTGAGACCTGTGTGCTGACATAAAATGCAGCATGACACTTGAAACACCCCTAAGCTGGCAGAGTGCTCTGTGAAATAATACTGAACCCTGATCTGAACATTGACTTTTTCCCTTTTGTGTATCAAACTTCAGTTAATTGTTAGGCTCTCCTCTCCAGATACCATCAGTGGTTCACACTGTCAACCTTTGGAGGCCTGTTATTGTGAGGAAGCTAAAACTTAATGTTCTAGTATATCAGTCTGCTTTTTGATAACTGGTAGCTGCTGGTTTCCTTAAAAGCAGTGCTTCTAGCTCTTCATCAAGAGGGACAAAGGCTTTTTTATTTTTTTGTCCCTGTCGTGAAAGATTGCCTTTTTCTAACAGGAGTGACATCGTTTTCGTCTGTCAGATCTGTAACTTGGGATGTTGCATGTAAAGCTCAACCATATGCATCATCAGCTGTGCGTTCTCTGCGAAACATGATGATTTCTGAATCCTGCTGATGTGGTTTCCCTCTTTGAATACATATCAGGGAATTTTTTTCTTGCAGCTGTTTAGTGGCTGAAAAGAAGAACACTAGTAGATAGTTTGCAGCCTTAAAAACCTGAGAAGAGTTCAAGTGGAAAAGTCTCCTACAGCTGGTTGAGATCTTTTCAGAAAGGCTTCAGCCAGAGTGTCCAGATGTCCACAGGAGTACTCACGGAAATTTTATGTCTCATAGCTGGAATGTGGCAAGGGAAGTGCAAAGCATACCAACAAAGCATGGCCAAATTTTAACAGAAGAAAGAGCTGAGGCTTTGGCTTTGCTGATATTTCAGGCTCTGACTGTGAGCCTTTAGTAGATTGTTGAGGTACTGATGTGAAGAGAGAGTGCTTCAGCTTTGAGTGCAGTGGAAAGCAGTGGCTGAGGGCTCACTGTCAGACTTCAGCAAGTCTGCAGGCCTGGGTTAATGTTGAATGACTTGGCTGCCTCAGGTGGCTTCTCATGTCTTCATAGTAAGGTCTGGTTTTCCTCCTTCAGTGTAGTTTGGATGCCAAGGTGTTCCTCTTTTTTCTACTTATAGCAGAAAGTTAAAACACACAAAATTGTCATCTAGTCCAGATTTTTGTCCAACAGTTGAGATTCCATTAAAGTTTCCACCAAACTTCTGATTTTATTTAGAGGTCTCCTGGTTTTAAGTTTCCATTCAGCAACACCTGTTATACTTTGGTCCATTTCATTGAAGAGCCCTTTACATACATACAGTATTTTTAAATAATGACATAGCGGAAGCCATACTTTCAAACAGCCATGACTGAAAACTTCGTTTTCTTGAACATTTAATCCAAATGTTTCCCAGTGGTTTTTTTTTGTTGTTTGTTTTTTTTTTTGTTGTTGTTTTTTGGGTTTTTTTTTTTGTTTTTTTGTTTTTGTTATGCTGTCTTTAAGCCTTCTACAGTTTATCTCATTGGTATCCTGTTAGTCTCTGGTATCTCTTAATGTATTTTAGCTAAGAGTAAAAAAAGGCTACACTGCACATATAACAGTCTGTGCCTCCAAAAACCACTTTGCTTACATTGAACTCTGAATTTAAAACTTTACTTTCCAAGTTATTTTCCAAAATGCTGCTCTCTCCTGCAAATACAGCATTTGTTTCAAGGCTTCGCTTAGGTGTATTAAATTCCACCTCTGCTTGTGCACAGATGAATAAGTGACCTAGAATGCTTTGACTGATTATCAAATCTAATTAATTGCCTTTCCCTTTATCATCCCAACTCCAAAAGAAATAAAGTAAACAATTAGTGGTACACTATTAAAAATATCTCATAAGCAGACAGTCAGAGAACCTCTGTTGGGATGATTTCCCATCTGTAATCACATCTCATGACTTAGGGTTTAGTCATTAATACTTTCTGTGTGTGCTGTGTTGGTTTCATATCTTACAATGAGAGACAGTCTTTTACTTTTCATTTCTTATAACATGAAACTTTGTGTGTTTGTTTGCATTGAGGTTTCTGGTTGTGTATTTGTCAGTAGAAGAGCATTGTAAGAGTTAGTGTACTTTATGTCAGCAAATCTTAATATTTAGCAGTTAAATTTGCATGCCAAGGTAATGCCATAAACAGGTTTTGATTAGCTTAGTAAATACTTTGTGCATTTATGAAAAATACGCATCTTTGAGCATGACAAAGCAAGATTATGTGCAACCCTGAGTATGCAACTATTCACGTCACATCTATTTCTTAATGTTTCATGATCTTAAAAAAATCAATTTCCTGACTTTCCTTCACTGCAGTATGTTGTCACTGTCAACTCATCTCTCATTCCACTTGTCTTTCACGATGTCATGAAGATCTCTGATTTTCCAAGAAGAATAGATTAGATAGTAGTACTTCCTTCCACAAAAAATATTCCATCATAGTTCATTTTCCATGAAGGGAAAACTGCCTTTATTTCATTGTAATAAACAGCCGTCATTTTTTCCAGTAATTTGTATAAAAATAATCTGATGCTGTTGACTTTCTTTGGAAGTCAGTGCCATAAATTTCACAGTGTCTCTGTTGACCACATGGCAGTGGTGCTTTTCCATACATCCTTTCCAAGGGTATGGTTAGAGTGAAGTGTTGCAGGAGGGACTTTACATATGTTGTATTTGGAGAATACTGTTAAGGGTAGCCTTATCTTAAGAACACAACAGGCTGAGGGGTTACAGATAAGTACAGAGGATAGGACTGGGGGAAAGAAGTGTTTTCTGTCAAGTGAGAAAGTCTTCTCAGTCGTTCTGATGTTTGTCACCTCTTTGGTTGTCTATGTAGTGGAAGTGTCTCTCACCCTGGGATTCAGCTTTTCAGAGGAATAGCTTTTCTGGACAGAGAAGTGGAGTTCCAGCTAAAAGCAATAAAACTAAAAGGTGTATACACAATATTGGTGAGCGATTGTTTCCATACTTCTGGTCAAAAGGCCTTTGCTACCAGGGTGGTTCTGAGCCTCCAGGCCATGTTCATGGAGAGCAGTAAAGTGGTTTTGTGCAGGAAGATCAGCACTCTGTCTCCTCCTCTGCTTCTGCTCTGTGTGTCTGTCAGCTCTCTCTTTCTTGTTTTTTAAATTTCTTTTTCCCTTTTTCACAACCTCAGTATATCTCTTAAAATTGAACAACTGTGTGTTTCATAAGAGGTCTGTACAAATTCCTGGCTCCTATTTAAACCAATCATGTTCCAGTCACAGAATTTATTATGCTGGAAAAAACCTCTGAAGTCATTGAGTCACTTGATATTTGAGGGGCCTGATCAAGCAGGTGTGCTCAAAGCAAGATAATACGAAATGTGATAGTGACATCACATGAATTGTTAGTTAGTTAATATGAATTGTTACTGACATGTAGATGTTAAGTCCAATACACAGCAGCATTGCCCTCACTGAATGAAAAAACCTGGCCAGCTTTGCTTGTCTTA